GGGTGCTGCACTGGGTACAGTGCTGGGTGCTGTGCTGAGCACTGTGTTGGGTGCTGTGCCGGGTATACTGTGCTAGGTGCTGTGCTGAGTGTTGTGCTGGGTGCTGTGCTGGGTGCTGTGCTGAGGACTGTGCTGGGTACTGAACCAGGGGCAGTGCTGGGCACCATGCTGAGTACTATGCTAGATACTGTACTGAATACTGTGCTAGGACCTTTGCCGGACTCTGGAGTCAGGGATAGACAACGTGACCCAGTGCTTAAGGGCGGATGTGGCCACAGAACACAGATGACTATGAAAGGAGCCGAGAGACCACAGAATGTTTGGGAATTTCCAGGAGGCGGTGTGGGGAAGCCCAGACAGGCTCGGGGAGTGGGAGGCGCTGGCCCCGAGCCCTGGAGACATGCAGACACCGAGATGCGGGTCCGGGCACGAGTTCAGGGACCGTGCAGCCCACGTTCTGAACCAGGCCCAGGACACGTGGCCAGGCCCTGCTGCAAAGGGGCCTGGACACCTGTGAGGAAGCACCTGGCGGAGACCGGGTCCCCTGTGCGGGCAGGGGAGGCTGGCAGAGAGGGCAAAGGAAGCAGGCACTGGGGCCCTCGGGACCAGCCCGGAGGCTCAGGGGTCAGGGGTGGCAGACTGCAGAGGTGGCTGCGCCCCAGCCCACAGGAGCCGCCCCGGGCCGACCACCAGGCCACCCAGTCGCCCCCCTCCCGCATGGAGGCTGCCATCACTGCCCCCTGCGCCAGCGGAAGCTCGGGAAACTCCAGAAACTCTCCCAGTGGCTGTGGCCATAGTGGGGACTCGCACCAGGCCCCAAGCACTCAACCTGGGTCCTGCTCCCCAGCAGCAGCCTCCTTCACGGCCGCCCCCCCCCAAGCCCCGCAGACCCCGCCTGCACCTCAGCACCGGGTGAAGAGGTTCTTCCCGCTCTCGACAGGCAGAGAAAGGAGGTGCCCGAGCCTACACAGCAGCCAGCAAGTGGACCGGATGGGAACCTCCTGCCTCTAGTAAACAGGCGTCTGGACACGTGTCCAGAACTGGGGGAGGAATCGCAAGGGAGACCTGGGGGGGCCCTCCACGAGGGATTAGCTGCCCCTTCCACCAGCCTGCCCGAGTGAACATCTTTCTCATTGCCAACTTGGTCTTGACAGGTCAGCACACAAAACACAAACTGTATCCATGGCCAGGGAGAGGTCAGTGGAGGGGATCCCTGGACACGACTCCCCGCCCCGGGCCCAGGCTACAGGTCAAGTCCAGTTCACCTGGTGGCAGTCTCCCTCCCGCCGCAGCCCAGCACCCAGGCCCCCTGGGGCCCACCCTTGACTTAGCCTAAGCCAACCCACCACGGGGTGCCGGCCAGCCAGCTAAGGGCACAAGGTTTGGGGGCTTAGGGAGCACAGCAGCTCAGGAAAGCTCCTGGACAAAGGAGCGTCTCACAAGCAAAGCCAGACCCACACCGGGCGACCCAGGCCGGCCAGGCACAACAGAGGCTCAAAGACAGCTCGAGGGCTTCTGCCCACTGGAAAACGTGCATGTAGGTAGCGGTGCACCTTTGCAGCCTGGGAAAGCGTGAGTTCTCGCCAGTGGGCAGGAGCGCCACGGAAGGTCTGTGGGAGGTGACCCCGTCAGACATGTTCGTCTAGAGTGGGGCAACTGCTTGGATTATTTCCTTCCCATCTTCCACACACCTGAGCCCAGGGTCAAGGAGACCCGCCTCCACCGCCCGGCCCCGCACAGGGGTGAACAGTGACCTCTGGACTCGGCACTGCGGTCAGCTCTGGCCAGGTCAGTTTCTTGAGTTTAGGTCCATCACTGTCTCTAGAAATCCATTTTATTCTTGGAGACCAGGGATGTACACCCACCTTCCCAGGCTGTTATGAAACTCGCCGGGGGGCCTCCAGCCCATGACAGGTCAGGCCGCCGACCCAGTCACCACTGGCCAGTGCCAGTTAGTGGGCCAGGGACGGTTGGGGGTGCCCCTGCCGGAGACCTGCCTGGCATGAGAAGTGGGGAGTTGTGACCGCAAGTGGGAGGGGGTGTCAGGTACACTGGGGACAGGTCACTGAGGTGCTTTTCAGAGGTAACATGAGGGACAGGTTATACCCCAAAATACTGGTAAGGAGAGAAGGAGCGAGACTCAAAGAGTGACCAGTGTCCTGCCCACTGTGGTCACTTACATGGAGCTTCTCAGATGGTGGGGGGCTTGCTCCTTCCTGGGTGCCTGACCCCCCTAGTCTGCATTCTGAAGTCATTAGCATCACCCCAGTTTAGATGGGCAGTAAACTGAGGCCCAAGAGGGCCAGGGAACCTACAGGGAGTCATGTGGCTGGCAAGAAGCAGAACAGGGACATGAACCCAGGACATCCAGGCCGCACAGCTGGCCTCTCTCCGGTCCAGTGAGCTGCTCTACTAAATAGGATCCCCGACCCCGGAGCGCCCAGCCCCGCGCGGCCCCGGCGATTACTGTGACTCCTTTGTCCCAGAGGCGCACACCTGTCGGGGGCGGAGTCAAAGCACCCACGTCTGGCGTGTAGTGTCTTACCCAGAGACTTTGCACCTCGGACAAGTCATACGACCTCTCCAGGACTCAGTTTCCCCTTCTGATTCCTCGCCCATACTGTTGCAGTGAAGCTTAACCCAGTGGCCCCGGAAAGGTGCTGTAGTTCCTGTGGGACACGCGCCTCCCTGGCCCACCCGACCTCCCGCAGAGCCTGGGCTTAAACGAGACACGCAGCGCCACACGGCTGGCCCAGACCCGCCGTTCCGTTTCACAGCGGGGAGGCCCAGGGCCCGAGAGGAGCCACAGGGCCATGACCTCTGTCCCCCAGGGCCCGCCCCCCACCTACCTCGGTCTCCCGGAGCCTGGCCTCCAGGGCGGCCCGGGGACCCTGGGTGTTGTCGTTGATCTGCAGCCGCTCCTGCACGGCCTCCATCCACGCCTGGGCCTCCCGCACGCTCCTGTCGAAGCCCTCCTGGGGCTGCTGCGTCATGGCACCTGCAGGGGCTGAAGGCGACACATGAGCTCAGAGGGTCGGCGAGCAGGGGCCCAGGGGGGCCTGGGGCCAGGCTCCACCATCAACACCCTGCTGGACCACACAGCCAAAGCAGCACGGGCAAGCGAAGAGCAGGACTGCCCAGCTGCCCGGCAGGGCCGGCCCGGGGGAGCCAGAGGTGGACAGGGCGCGGCCAGCCTCTGGGGGTGCGGCACCCTCCCCCTTCCCGAGACTCAGAACAGCTCTTCCACCTCCTTCGCACCTCCACACTCCTAAAGCACAGTCGGAGATGTCCATGGCTACTCAGGACTCTTGATTTGGGGGTCAAAAGGCCTCCGTCGCAGGAACACTATTGGGGCGCCAAGCCGGCACCGAGGAACCCCGGCCCCACACCGCCCCCAGGTACGGCTCAGGCGACCTTGGCCCTATTTCTTCACCAATCCGGTCCACAGCAGACGTAATGGTCCCCACTGGGCCACCCACGACTGACCTCCTGGCACCCCAGACAACGCCCTGGCACCGGAGGGCCCCCACGCGCCGTGCCCGCCGCCGTAGGTGCTAACTGCTTCTGCACAGTCCCGCCCCCTCCCCGACCCCGACCTGGGGGCTGAGTCCAAGGGCCCCTCACCCTTCTCTAGCCCAGTCTGGCTGTCTGCTGGCAGCACATCACCTCCTTCGGCTTAGTTATTTCTATCTGCACCTCTGGGAAGGGATGGGGCTGGCCGAGCCGGCCCCGGCCGTGATGCCTGGCAGGGAGGAAGCCCCATTCAAGGGGCTGTGGAAATGATCCAGAAATGGTGAAGTTTAGCACACTCCAAACCGACACAGCGTCAGTTAGAAAGGCAAACGAACCGAGGTAGAACAACCTAGGTGCCGGCCCAGAGGGGCTTAGTTAGGGACGGGTGTGCACACGCACCCCAGAATAGGGCGTGGCCGGCAAAGAGCATGCTTCTGTGACTGTGGTGGACAGTCCTTGCTGGAATGATAATACTGAAAATTGAGACAAATTATATAATGGCTAAAGCAGGGAGTCAGACTCTGCAAGAAATCAGCATAAGCCATAACAAAGACTGCTCCTGGGAAAGGCCAGGAAGCCCAAAGCCGGCGGGGCCACGTGACTGAGTCAGAGCAGGGCGGGCAGAAGCGCTAAGCTGCTCCCAAGCCCGGCCCTCGGGGCACGCTCAGCCCTGGGCCCTCACGCCTCTCCCCCTGGCACGGTCCCTGGAGTCCCCTCCGCCAAGGACCACTGTCTGGTGGGTGAGGAGCTGAGGTTGGGAGGTTTTATTCCTTTGGGATGCTTTGTGACCCGAGCAGGTGTCGCTTTCAGATAAAACAGTTTCCTAACACTGGCCGAATTGTTCACGGCCCCTTCTCAATCATCGGTTGTCTTTCAACAGGCGTGAGACAGAAAAGGAGGCGCCCTCCCTGCCGCGCGGGGAGGGCCCCCACATCCCGGAGGAGACACACATCAGCATTAGACGTGGGCTGCGGTGCCCAGGCGGGTGGGGCACCCCGAGCGGGCTCTGTCCCAGTCCGTGCCCACAGACTGTGCCCTGGGCTCAGGCTCTTCTCCCAACATGTTGTTTTCCAGCAGAACTAACAACTTAATACGCTCCCTGCAGCCACTCCCTGCCTTTGAATGCTGAGGTTGAAAAGCACAGGAGAAGCGCAGGCGTTTAAATTGGTTCATTGTGACTTTAATCTCCTGTCCAGTGTGGGACTTGATTGGCTTCCAAAAGCTCAGCTTTTGTTTTTATAAAGGGAAGATGGGAGGGGCAGAAGTGAGTCTCCCAGAGTTTCAGATGACACAGCAGCCTGGGAGCACTGATCCCCGAAAGGTAGAGAGATTTTGGACCAGCCTTCCGTAGGATTGCCCAGGGACCCGAGGCCTGGTGTCTGGAGACCCCCAGGAACACGAGGTGGGGGGGCGGGCTGGGCAGGCCTGGGACCCATCCGCCTGGGCTGGGAGCCCTGACTAATCATGGGCTTCGAGGGGCAGAGCTCTGGACACGGGACCTCGCGTCCGGGTCTACAAACTACTTTTTCTGTCCGGTGGAACAGAATCAAGTGCTCGCTCCCTGCTAGGCTGGTGGAGACAAGGACCCAGCATGGAGTGGGCAGGCCTGTCCCTTCTCTCCGGAGACACTGCAGTTAACTCAGAGGCGGGCTGCGGGGGGAACCCGACCGCCCGTGAGTCCCTCTCGCAAGAAAGGCTTGAAGTGCTGAGAACAAGCGGCAAAGAATTACAGAGACCAGTCACATTAAAGCATGGTCATCAACCCCGAAAATAACACTCACGGGTCCTGGGCACACGTTTCACCCAGGCTCAAGGCGGGGACTGAGCACTCGCCATCCGAAGCAGCAGCGACGGGCCCAGGTGACCCTTGAAGACCTCCCAGCTGCCAGCGATGGTCACGTGGGCCCACTCACGTGGCCCCACTCAGCCCCAGCTCTGCTTCGGGTCTGCCTCGGGGCGGAAGGAACCACTACCAGGCGCAGAAGCTCCGTCAGCAGGATGTAGCTCCCCATCTAGACCGTGGCTCTCGGATTCCAGCCGGAGGGGCGCCTGGGGGTCCCCAAGCCCCGCTGGGAAGCCCCTCCCTCCCACGGGAGGGGAGCCTGTCACACTGCCCTGCTTACAAGTTTAAGCGGCAAAGAAGCCGCTCAGGCAGCCTCCTCCCCTTGTCCGGCCTCCTCTCAGGCAGCCACGCCCTCTGCTTCCTCTGCTCTCAGGGTGTCCCTCCCCTGAGCCAGCACGTGGGGCACAGGGCGCAGCCTGGGAGCAGGGTGACTGGCTCCTCACCCCCCAGTGTGCCCGGCCAAGCGGTCAGCCCTCGTGAGTGTCCAGGGTGGGAGTCAACCTGCCACGGAAATGACCACAGTCCTCGGCAGGGCCGAAGGTCTTCCCACGTGACCACGTATTGCTCAGATAGAGGACAGGGAGAAAGAGCCCTGGACATGGGTCTGAACATCCACCCTGAGCAAGTGCTTTTTTGCCTTTCTGGGCCTCAGTTTCCCCACGTGGACACTGGGCATGTGGAAGAGTCCTTTGGGGCGCCCCCGAGATGGTGGGTGACGGGTTGAGCGGCTGAGGTCCCCGTGAGGCCGGCCTAGGTTGGGCTGGCCAGCCTCCGCCCTCAGACTGTCAGCCTGGGCCACCACTCTCTCCACAGAGCCCCTCCTCACCCAGCCTGGAGGCGCCTCGGAGGCCCCCGGGTGAGCGCCCCGGAGGGAGAGCAAGCCCGGGAAACTCTTCCATCAGCAGGACCGCAATGGTTCGGTAAAGGGTCAGGTGGGAAATATATTTAGGTTTTGCAGGGCACGTACAGTCTTTGCGGCATATTTTTGTTTTTATAACCCTTAAAAAAATGTAAGATCTTTTCTTGGCCCGCTGGCTGTACCCGGACAGACCGCTAGCAGAGCGGCCTCGGCCCCAAGTGCCAGCCCACTTCACAGGGTCCAGGACTGAGCAGGCCGTGCAGCCCCACGCTGACCAGCTGGCCGCCCACACTGTCCTGGGACTGGGCAGGGGCTGGCGGGTGGTCTGGCTGTGTGACAGCTGGCCAGTCGCTCAGCTTCTCTGGTCTCGAGTCCCCACCTGGAGAACGGGCTGCCCGTCTCGTCAGGCTCTGCAATAAAATACCTCCAAGCTGGTGGCCCAGCCACGGCAGAAACACACTTCTGCCAGTCCTGGAGGCCAGAGGCCCGAAATCAAGGTGCCCGCACGGGCAGGGAGGCCCTCCCACTCCGCCCTCAGAGGGCAGGCGGGGGCTCTGCGGGCTCCCACCGCCACCAGCCAGCCCGCCCCTGCCAAGGCCCGGCCTCTCATGCCCGCACGGCTGGGCTGGCATGTGAATTAGGCAGTGTGGAGATGCAGCGTTCACGGCCCAGGCTTACGCCTGCACGTGATTAGTGATGAGACCCTCCTCCGAGCTGGCACACACCCCGACTTAACACGCTTCCCTCTTGCCCAGGTACCAGATGGAAGGTTTCCTTTCCTTCGGCGTCTGCACGCAGGCGGCAGAGCTGCCCAGGCTGGGAGCAGGGAAGGAGCAGAGCACATTTGCGCCTCTCAACAGCTGCTGTGCCGGCTGCTCCATGTCCAGTGTGTGTATGTGGAGGTGGGCGGAGGGAAGGGGTCACAGCAAGCGCTGAGAGGGGGACACAAGCAGCCACGGGGCCACAGAGTATGGGGTCGCCCCTCTGGGGCACACAGGCCAGGCGGGAGGTATGGCAAGCTGAGCACTCAGGGGGAGGCTCTGGGCATGCTGGGGGCTGGTGAGGGTGAACGTTAGAACATGGGCTGGCAACAGAAGCTGAGCTACCCACTGGAGTGAGTGCCAGGCCAGGTCGGAGCCCAGGAGCAGGGCTGACCCCTGGGGACAGTGAAAGGACAGCAGGCCCAGGAGGGAGCAGCCCCTGGGCTGCAGGCAGAGGTTGGCCGTGCAGAGAAGTAGCCGCAGGAGGCCAGCGTGACAGGTGAGGCTGTCACAGGTAAGCATCACAGGTGAGGCTATGAGGCGCACAGGCCTCTGGGAGGGAGGGAGGCTGCTCGGCTTTGCAAGTATGTTTTTCCTTCTTGAATTAGTGGATGGACGTAGAATTTAAAAGTGGAACTGGGGGGGCCCTCTAGAGGTGCAGCAGGTTGGAGCGCAGCTCTGTGAAGCTGGCTGTGGTGGCTTCAGGGCGACTTCCATCCCCGCCCTGGTGACCGACCTGGCGCGGCAGACCTCTCGGGTCTCCCCACTGCTCCCCTCAGCAGTGTACTGTGTAGATCTGCCTGTTCTGCTCCCCACTGTCTCTGGTGAAGCCTCTCACTGCCCCTGCCTCTGGCTTGTACCCCAGTTCTGTGTGCATAAATAAATAAATCTTTAAAATAAATAAATAAAAGAGGAACTGTGCGTTCCAACCATTTTTGGGAAACAATGTTCTCAAGGGTGTACCAAAAAGTTGTTTTCATTTCCAAGTCCTACTTGGGCTGCAAGAGGGGTGTGGCTGCA